GGTGACAAACAAAGCTACCTTATGAAGATGCTGGGATCAAGTAAAAATATCCAGGTTTTTTCTTTCAGAGGCATCCTTACACAAGGAGTAGCCTTGCCTAAGCTTTCCAGTCTATATCCAGGGATGGCCATATGCACACACAGGGACCTTGGTGAGCGCTAGGCAAATATCTCCACACCTCCTTGCCCAAGTTAGCTTCTAGATTCTCTCTGAATATCTCAATTCAACGATCAGTTCCTCAGCAAAGCCCTCTTCATTTTCTAGTCCAAAATTGGTTTTTAAAAAATATAGTTGAAGAATTAAATTACTTTCTCTTAAAGAGCTTGTCTCAGTTCACAATAAAATACATATTGGTGTTATTATTTGTATCATGTCATTATGAAAATTCAATTTTGTTTCTTTTCTTTTTCTTTTGTCAGGTTTAGTGCGGTACCTGGCACAAAACCAGGCCCCAGTATTTGCAATTTTATAAGATAAAATTCATTGACTGATCAATTCTTAACTCCCCGGACCAATAAAGAATTCAAAGGATTCCGTGTATAACATGCTTTTCAAAAAGAAATAGTAACATATGCGTGTGTATGTTAGGACTGTGTGTTCAGCATGTATTTATGTGTGTGTGTGTCTAGGATACATGTATGTGTGTGTCCAGGGTGCAAGTCTATGTGTAAACATGGAGCCAGAAAAGGTTATTGGCTATCCTGATTTATCATTTTCTACTGTGTTCTCTTGAGACACGTTCTCTTACTGAACCCGAAGCTCCCTATTTTGGCTAGGATAGTAGGCCAGCGACCCCCTGAGATCTGCCTGTCTCCGTCACCCCCAGACGGAGTTTGGGGCTGGGGTTATAGTCATGCTCATTTTTTAAGCTGGGGATTCAAACTCAGGTCCTTTTGTGTGTGCAGCAAGTGTTCTTACCCACTGAACTGTCTCCCCGTTCCCAGAGAAGCAATGTGTTAAGAGCAAACTTTGCTTATTAAAACCCAGGGCCACCTCTTGCTCTAGAAAATTACTAACCTAGGAATGGGGTCCTGACGCATCAAGATCATTTTATTCACTTTAATAAAGGACCCATTATTTGGGATGTCCTGGGTGCCTGTGGATGGAGAGGGCTTGTGGTCAGGTACCCAAAGGTGTAGGACGGGCATGCTCTTACCTGGTGCTAAATGTGAGGCCCTAGACCTCAGACACTCCAAAAATGGGTGCTGATTAGATTATAAGGAGCAACATTTGATAAATATCACCCAAGTCTAGAGCCAAAGGAGGAATGTAGAATTAAGAGTGTGATCTAGACAATGACAGAGAAGAAATCACTGATCATCTTCTCTAAGTTTCTCTAGGTTTTTTTTTTAATCTCTTCAACAAGAAGCATAACTTTTATTAGACTTTGTTATACTGATCTGTTGTGGGATATTTGATAACACTGTGAAACCCTGAGAATGTGTTAATAAAATCAATCTTGGCCCAGGGGACGGAGTCAGTGACTACTTGACAAGAATTAATCACAGAGAGTACAGAGGATCCAGCAAGATGGATAGAGAGACACACAGGATGGAGTAGAGAGGGCCTTAGAGACTTACAGTGTTTTGGTTTGGGATGAACGGAGAGACGTTCATTCTCTCTGAAATGTGAAAAGGATGATTAGCTGGTTGCTTCTCTGCCTCTCCAAGCTACCAGGTTTCCACCCCAATAGCTGACTCCTGAGTCTTTACTGGTAAACAGAACTATAGAGACTTAGTTAAAAACTACATTTGGTGGCAGCAGCAGAGTCAGTGCCAGCAGGAATAGAAATCCTGCCAGGCCGTGGCCTGATCAACGGAGCACTGACCGTGGGGCAGCAGGCCCTATGGATGGTGGTTAAAATATCATTAGGCTCAGGAGTAGCCACTAAGTCAACGGAAGATCAACATGATCATTTACTTAGCAAGGCATTTCTCAAAGCGTGTGTGTGTGTGTGTGTGTGTGTGTGTGTGTGTGTGTGAGGGGGGAGTAAGAGTCAGTTTAGCCATCTCACCGTCCTTTAGTAGCGTTCTTCCTTCCAGAGGATGAAGTGGAGAATGGGAGTCTGGGTAAATAAAAGGCACGTGGTGAGAATGTTCACAGTCAGAAAGTACTGGACCTGGGTGAGAGAGCGCTCTGTTCTCGTCAGACTCTAAATCCTGTGTTGTGAGCTGCGACATCAGTGCTGTGCCTGCGTGTCCCCAGGCAGACTTCCTTGCTACTTGTCTTACCGAGTTAACTGTGGATGTATACTGTGTAATTTAAGTGGATTTTTTTAGCATCTGTGACCTCACAGGATGCGAGTTTTCTACCTCTTAGTAGCACTAACACACAGTTATGAAAACGGTCCATGTATTTCTACGAAGCATCTTGCCTGCCACCCCAAGCAACCCAAGCCATGCTCCTGCCTCTGGTTGATAAAAGGCATAACAGAAGAAGGTGCTAAACAGGAGGTATTTAAGACAAGGGTTGTTCTAGATACTTTTCTGAGGATGTTGTGGAAGAGGGCCACTGCCTGCTCCAGAGGTAGCTACACTTCAGTGCTGAGAGGCAAAAGGGCCCTGGTTTGCACACCTTCCTGCCCGGGGCAGTCTGACTGAAAGGCCATATATAGATGTCAGTTGTCGTCACCCACATGATGACAGTGATTATTTTACATATGGCAGCGGTAAGGGTGAACGCTAAGGTCTCATTTGTATGCCAGCATCTGGCAGGCTGTCACACATCTGCAGGAGATAACCTAAACAGCACTATTAATATGTCCCCTTTGCATTCTCCCCAAGGCATCTGTCTCCCCAAACGTCTGAGAAAGTTCCTTTCCCTCTTGAAAGCCTGGAGGCAAAATTCAGAAAACATGCCACCTAGGCTGGGGAAGCATAAGCTCAGAGTGACAGCTGGCTGAGCCCAGGCAGATTCCTGGTTCTCGGAATAGATGCGAGGAGGGAAAGGCGACCGCCATCGACATTCATTCTATCCGCAGCTGCTGTGCCGGGAGAAATCTGCAGTCAGAGGCAGCTATTCTCCGGCCCACACAGTGTGTCATGTCTGCTCTGGGATCAATGAGAGCTAACCAGTCATGGTCCCAAAGACCAGTTCTCAGTGTCTCCAGATGTATCTCAGTGCCAGAACCTGGTTAAGGACACCTTTCCTAAGAACCTTCAGGGACTATAGGAATGTCACTGTGGTAGTGGCTAACGAGCTGTGTACCCTTGCACAAATATCCTTTCCACGTATGTGCGTGAGTTGCATTCCTCTCTGTGGCTTCAGAGGATCCCCACACCTCAAAAAGACAGGATCTCCTCCAGGCCTATAACTTACCAATAGGCTAGGAAGGCCGGGAGTGAGTGTACTTCCGCGTCTCTAGTGCTGGTATTATGAAAAAGTGTTGCCACATCTGGTCTCTTTTTCCTGAGTTCTGGGGATCAAACTCAGGTTCTCGCGATTACCGAGCAAGCACTTTACCAACGAACCCATTCCCTCAGCTCGGCTTCAACACTTTGCACGTTAAATTTCCAAGCTAGGCTTCATAGTGAAGAGTCTCCTACAGGTCCACTCTGACCACTGACTACGATGCCACTCTCGTTGTGTGCAGTAGCTTTCAATACAGAATGCTGGATCCATTGGAATACAGCAACGGGCCATTCGGGGCTCCTGTTCTCACGAAAACGACATTCTCATGGGGGCAAAGTAAAAAACGCACACGCTAAAACACTTCAAGTTCTGGTGAGCACAATGCAGACAGCAAGAATACAGCTGCTGGCAGCCACTGGGGAGCTAGTGGGAGAGTCTCTGTAGAGACGGTAGGTTCGGTTGAGGCTGGAATCAAGAACTCTGAGGACACATTTCCAGATAGAGGGGACAGCAGGTGCAGAGAGAGGAAGAGCAAAGCTTAGCTGGGAATAGAAACATGGTTCTCTGGTTGAAGCAGAGTGGGTGAGGCAAGAGCGACATGACAGGTGTCAGAGGGAGTCAGGCCCAGATGGTGTGGAATCTTCTAGACCCTGGGAAATGACTTATAATTTTCAGTTCACTAGAAAGTTACTGGAGCGTTAGGTGCGCAGTCAGGATGTCGTGTGGGTCACACGGTAACTGACAGGCAGGGCATGTGTGCTGAAGGAGAGGAATCAGGCAGCCATAGGGGAAAGAGACAACGGTGGCCCATGTCAGTGAGTGCAGGTAGGAGTGGGATGGAGCCATCTCAGCTGTCCGAGGTTCACTGTGGACAGCTCGGGATGGGCGGGGCTGGGATGGCAGAAGCCGGCAACTGAAGGGCGGAATCAAGGTTGACTGGGAGCCAGAACTCAACTCCCTGAGGGCTGAGAGCGAGAAATGAGTTGGGAACTAGAGCTAAGAGTCAGGCTTTAGGATGGATTGAACGGGCACACCCGAGACCAGTTGTTCTCGACCTTCCTAAAGCTGTGATGCTTTAATATAGTTCCTCGTGTCATGGTGACCCGAACCATGAAATCATTTTCCCTGCTACTTCATAACTGCAATTGTGCTACTATTATGAATAGTGTAAATAGCTGAGTTTTCTGATGGTCCTGGGGGGGTCGTGACCCACAGGTTGAGAACAGGTGCCAAGATTAGCTTTTATCACCAAAAGCAAGATGAATACAATGAGGTCAAACACTGGCCTTACACAGACACTCAGAAATCTTTTGTACTTTTCATAGTTTGGGTTAAGCGGAAGATAATCACGCTTATAGCTTTTGCTTTGTCTGAGGTGCTGGGATCAAACCTGGTGTCTCGGACCTATATCCTCATTCGCCTTAGGATCATCATGTTAAGCTGCATTTGGGCCATTATTCACTGTGCAAAGAAATGGTTTTAAGCTGCATTTCAGAGCGAGAGCTGCTGCTGTGCCCACAATTTAAGATTTTTCTTCAAAGTTGCCAGGCATTTCCATTTTGACGGTTCTTTTCTGACCTCTTTCTCCCCTGCCCGCTCCTACCTGGATACCCCTGAGTCAGACCAATAGGCTTGGAAGGAAAGGATACTAAAACTCTGATTGGTTATCTCAAAGTTCCACAGATTAATCCTCAGGTCATCAGCAGACATGTAGGTTTCGTAGTCGCTGTTGACGGATATGGAGTTGATGTGGTATGTGTGCGCATTGGCAAACACTCTTCGTGGGGTGGCCTCCACCATCAGGTCCATGGGTCTCAGGACGGGCACCTAGGGTATGAGAGAGGCACAGTGCTCAGGACAGAAGTCTCTGTTTTGGTAGGAAATGGGTCATGCTGTGCCCTTACCACCACACAGTAAGTCACAACCCTGAAGCCAAGAGTGACAGAAGCCAGCTGCCATTCGCACCACATTCTGGGCCTTGCAGATGTTGACATCTGGCACTGGGGCATAGGGGACGGTGACAGCACATCTTTATAAACTTGAAGCACTTCCCCAGCCCCCTTCAGGGGGACTTGGATCCCATTATGGGAACATAGTCTTCTAAGCTCTCACTCCCAGTCTGTTTCCCTTTTTTTAATTTAAACTTTTTATTTTTTGAAAATTTTATATATGAGCGCTGTGTTTACATCACCTCTTTCTGTCCCCGCCCATCTTCACTTCATCTCAAATTCATGACCTCTTCTTTGGCTATTATTGCTACTCACACACACAAATATGTATACATATACATGCGCACATTTACACAATACACCCAATCTTCCGAGTCCATTTAGTGTTGCTAATATGTACATTCTTTCATTTTCAAACAGGAAATCCATTCAAGAAGGAGATTGTGGGAAAAATCTTAGGAATCTGTCATTTAGCTTCAACCTCCATTCATCTTTTTTGTGTTTTTACATCTTGCCCCTAGTGGCCTGGGTTCCCTCCTAGTTTTACACTTAACCTTTACGGGACACTTATAGGAAAGCCTTCCACCACCCAACCCTAGTGACCCCAAATGAGCCATTAGTACACGAGTGCTTGGTGCATCCTGGTTGGCCTGGAAGCATCTTTGTTTATACCTATTGTCCACGAGTATGAATTAGCTAGTGTCACATTCAAACTGGCCCCCGTTTGGACAGTAAATTATATGGTCACTCCTCTGAGATTTAGAAGGTATTCCGGAAGTGTTTATTGAAGGACTGAGTAGAGCAATGTCAGTAAGTGTTTTCTTCATGGTGGGCTAGGGAGCTAGGACACACACACACACACACACACACACACACACACACAGAGAGAGAGAGAGAGAGAGAGAGAGAGAGAGAGAGAGAGAGGAAGAGAGAGAGAGAGAGATAGAGAGAGAGATTTCTCAGGAAAATGTGAACGAAGACACACTCTTCTAAAAGACCCAAACAAGCTGAACTACAGAGCACAGACAGAGCTCTTAAACAGAAACAAGGAGACAAAGAGCCACAAAGATCTCCTCCCTCACAAAGACTCTTGGAGGAGCCCTGGCTGACGTGACAACAGGGGGTAGATTAAGACTAGCTTCTGGATAAACATCACCCCAGGATGCAAGAAGAGGGGACCCTAAGCTGATTGGTAGTCACCTGACAGCACCTGCTAGAAGGCAAAGTTCTCCCAGTCCAACTTGGAGTTGTTCACAGGCTCGTGTGTGTGTGTGTGTGTGTGTGTGTGTGTGTGTGTGTGTATGCGCGTGCGTGCACATGTGTGTGCCCGTGCGCATAAACAGCTCTGAGAACACATGGATGGAATAAGGTCTAGACAGAAGAGATGCTGGGTCCCAGAAGCCAGTGTTGGGGTCTTCTGTGTGACAGGGTAGATGGGGGAGTTGATCTCTCGGGTCTCATATGCCAGGCATGGATAGTGGTTTTGTGGGAGAGTAGGGGGCATCCTCTTTGAGCATAAATAACCACTGACTGATGGGCTGGTATGTGCTCCATGATCTGGTCATTGACTGAGCCTGCTTTGCCCTCTTCCTTTTGAAGATGGTCATAGCGATTTATTGAGGCGGTCACTACCCATTCCATCCACTCTTTCAGCAACACCAACTGAGCTTTGTACAAAGTCCCAAGGGCTCACCTGGTAAGTACTCAGGACCCCTGCCTCACCATCATATGGCTGCCATAGCTTAGGGTGGGGAAGGGGTGGAGGTGGGGTAAATGATCACACAGCAGTTGAGCAAGTGCCCCAGGGAGGAGGCACAAGGCATAGTGGGTCTTGAGAGGCTTCCTGTGACTGGGTGATTGGCTGGGGACATGAAAGATGAGTGTGAGTCCCCAGGTCAGCAGAAAGGGGGTTCTATCCAGAGAAATGGGGTTGAAGCCGGGATGGTGATAGAGCCCACTATGAGAGCAAAGGTGACAGGGTAGATTGGGGGTAAGCTACAAGATGGGGCTCTGCCTACTCAAGAAGGTTGGAATTAAGAAGGTGAATGCCTTTGTGATGACCCAGACATGAACAAAGTCAAGCTTTGCTCAGACCTTTCTGGAGGTACGGGGGGGTGGAGGGGCTGAGTTCCATCTTTCACAGGTACATGTGCATGAGTGAACACCTGTTGAGGGCTTGTGTGAGTTGAGGTTTCACAATGGATAAAACTAAACTTCCCCCATGAACCTGGCCCTGAACTAGCTACTGAAGCATCAGTGCCTGGCTAGGCACTCTTCACACAGACTCCCAGACAATGCTTTCAACAACCGTGAAACAGGTACCAGCCCAAAGTAGGATTACAAACAGGACGCAGAGGTCAAGGTACTGTCCCAGGGTGGCCCAGATATGAGAAGGCACAGATGGGATTTGATCTCAGGACCCATCTGACTACAAAGATGAGAGTCCTTTCCTCATCTGCACCAGGCAGAAACACTGTACAAGGCAGGGACTGGTCATTGCTTTGTTAGTGACCTGGATAAATAGCCAGGAAGGCTTGTAGAAGAGAGGCATTGTGGATGTCACACCATACTGTATTCACGATGTCTCCATAGGCATCGCCAGTTTGTACAGTAAATGGACAGGGCATCTATTTTGTGTGTTTTCAGGAACACATGGCACCTACACTTTTACAGTTGGTCCTAAGGATGCTCACACTTTAGAGCCATTCAGTGCTCCCCGGAGAGGCCTGAGTGCCTCCCAGGCACCAGGGCCCAGGACACTGGGATCTGTCCAGCTTCCATAAAATCCTTGCCCTCTAACCTGGTCCTTCATGTCTGCACTGGGTCGGCAGATTGCTTCTGTGGCTGTGTCTGATGCAGATGAGAGCGTGACAACAGGATAAAGAGGCATTTCAAAGTAGTAGCTGCCAGCCTAGGGCTGCTGCCTAATGTGATGAGCCTGGTTGCTAATGCAGGCTGACACAATCCATGATGGGTCGTCTAATGGGGAAGGGCTCAGAGCAGGTGTCTGGGGATGGAGCCCTCTGATGCTCTGCACAGATAAAGGATGTAGGGTGTGTGTGTGTGTGTGTGTGTGTGTGTGTGTGTGTGTGCGCGCGCGCGCATGCATGGGTGTTTGCATGTGCATGTATGTCTGTGTATGTATGCACGACTATATGTGGAATGAGTCCCTGAGCCATTCTTATGTTCAGGTAAAGGCTGGTCCTCTGTCCATGACGGCGTCCTAAGGAGGACCCTCTGCAGTTCAGGAAGGACCAGATGGGCAGATTAGACAGCCATGTTGGGACCATGATTCCCGCATGGTCTGATTATTCCTTCTGGGACCATGCAGGGAGAAGAGCGGGGCACGATTTCAAGAGTGACAGGCAATGTTTGGGCTTTCTTTGGTGAGTGCTGTTCTGGCAGCCTTCCTGTGCTGTGAGCCAGCCTTGGTGTTCAGAACCCTAGGTGTCAACTCCACCCCATCCATGATCTCATTCTGCTTCCCTGGAGCCAGCCTTGGAAGGGGCTCCATTTGCCACCCTATAGGGGAGGATGCAGCCCAGTGTCGCAGAGAGAGCAAGCTTAGCTTTCAATGTTGGGAGAATAAGATCTTGATCTGTAGCCCAGGCTGGCCTTGAGCCTGTGACCTGCCTGCCTTAGCCTCCGAGTGCTGGAATCATGAGCAAATGCCCAGCCAGGCCTGGTATCACTTAACTCAACTGAGGCTTTCATCAGAGGCTTCCTGACAGATACCGAGGCTCTGCACCTGGAGTGACCCAAGCTGGGATGCAGCAGTGTGCTCTCTAGGTCAGCTTGCCTCCCTCCTCCTCTGCTCAGGTCCAGTGTCTTCCTGAGGCTGACTGTGCACATGAGTATTCTCACACACTTGTGTACGTGATACTGGGAGGGATCAACCCAATCCCATTTTTCCCGGACACCTGGCATCCGGCTATTATATCCACTGATGGATATCCCTGGGGACAAGGGGCAGACCGTGTCTGACCTGTCATATAGGATTACAGACAGCCACTCTAGTCAATTCCCCTTTCCGGTGGTACCCTCTCAGACAGACCTTCTATGAACACCCCCACATTAAGTGACACCCTCATATCTACTGCCTGGAATGTTCTAAACACTTAAGCCAGTTATCAGTAGATGATCTTATCTTCACGATCCCCCAAGGGGCAGATAAGAAAGGCGCGGCACAGAAAGGTTGAGCAATTAATCTAAAGTCACACAGCTGGCCCGAGGCAGAGTAAATAGACCTGTACTCCTTGGATCAGGAGTCAGTCTGACTCTCTCTATCCTCCTGGTTCTGTATCAGATTGCACAGATATTTGAGGTAGGGGTGCTGAGCTGTACTGGAGTTCAGTGGGAACTTCTTAGGTGGTATCTCCTAGGGAGGCGGTGACAGACTCAGAAAGGAGAGGATGCTGACACAAGATGAACTAGAAGAGGGGCTATGGGGGAGTGTGTGCACTCCTGAGAGTAGGCCATTAGCTTAATTAGTCACTCAACAAACACAATTAGATCTCTTCTCCTTATCAGGCATGCCTCAGGGCATACACAGTCAAGTTTGCTTCTGTGGAGTCTCTGTCTGTCTGTCTCTCTTATGCTATATGACACAGCTTCTCCAGGAAGGCAGCTCTGAAGGGTGCCATGTGAGCAGATGCCAGAAGGACACGAGGCAGGGGGACCAGTAGATGCAGATGCACCAAGGCTGAAGGGCATGAGGCAGGGGACCCATGGTTGCAGATGCACCAAGACTTAAGCATGTGCAAGGCATCAGAAAACCATGAGATTGGAGAGGATGCGATGAACAGAGAGGAGCCGGAGAAGATGCCACCGTCAGGGTGAGGACGCTCAGGAAGCTGGGAGGAGCAGTCCGCTCTCACA